AGCAGCTTTCACACATGGATATTTTGGCTTTCAACGTGGCTTTTGTTTTCAGCTAGGTGCTGAAGATTTGCAGATATTTTTTTGGGTTGCTTGGGCCTTCTATGACAATAAGTTGGTTTATCAAGTACATGGGCTAACTTCATCAAGTATTGGGCTAGTTTGGTTGAAGTGATGGGCTATTTTGGTTGGAGTAATGGGCTATTTTGGTTGGGCTACTTTCTCTTTTGTGCTCACCCACATATTTGGGCCTAAGAAATGGGCTTGGGTTCCGAGGCTCCCAAGTAACCCGGAACCTCCACTTCTTGGTCCCTCAATGGGCCTCATGACAATTTATTACCATCCATGCCACAACCCACTCAAGCAAGCCCCAGGCATTTGAGTGGCTTGGGCCCACTTAGGCTTGTGGCGGGATTTGGTGCGGGATGATAATTCCTTGCTTAGCGTGGCGTGTCGTTTGGCGTGGCATGTGTGCAAGCGCATATGATGAACTTTCGCATGCCCAAATCGGGTTTCTTCTTCGTAAAGCATCGCATTGGACCGAGAATTTATTTGGGCCGAACTGTGAATATTTTGGGCCTCAACACATGTTTTAGAGAGAGTGGGAAACATCTGTTTCCTGTCATGGAAACCTTTGCCACTAGATTTTCCATTGACCTGTCATCATATATCTCAACCATAGAATCACCAAAAACCAGATAGTAGCCATGCTCTACCATTTGACCTACACTCAGTAAGTTTTCATCCAATCCCGATACAAGCATAACCTCTTTGATATATCTAGGCCTGACTTTAGTATCAATAACCAAAGTGCCTTTACCAGTTGCTTGCACTAAGTCTCCTGTGCCCATTTTTACCTTTGCAGTGACCTTGGTATCAATATTGACTAGAAGGGATGCTTGTGAAGTCATGTGGTTGCTACAAGCACTATCCACATACCACACACCATTATGTTTCACTATTTCAGCAGCATGACAAGCATAGAACATATTGCCTTCTTCTTCCTTGTGTGATGCATAGTTAGCAGCTTGATCTGATTTTCCCTTGCAGTCTTTGGCTATATGACCAAACCTATCACACTTATAACGCTTGGGTTTGCCTTTGAACCAGCAAACACCATAGTGCAATTTGTCACAGGTTTTACAAGGAGTCTTGGCTCCTTCAGTCTGATTTTCCTTCTTAGAACTTTTTTCAGACTTAGTATCCCATTTCTTCCCTTTATGAGATTTCCAATTCTTCTTAGACTTGGAACCACCAGCTTGTCCTGTGTTTGATTGGTCTTTAGAACTCACATTCAGACTAGAGAAAGCCTTCTCAGTCACTCTCTCATTATGTCTTTTCAACCGTTGTTCATGAGATTTTAGAGAGCCTATAACCTCTTGAACCCCTATAGTTTCTGTATCCTTTGTTTCCTCTATAACTTCAGCAATAGAATCATACTCTCTAGATAAACTGGTCAAGAGTTTATGAACAATTCTCTGTTCAGTTAACTCTTCACCATAAGCCTTCATTTGATTTACCAACTCCAGCAGTTTAGTGATATATCCAGATAATGATTCATCATCATGCATACAAGTGTATTCAAATTCTCTTCTAAGAGCTTGAAGTTTCACAGATCTCACCTTCTTATCACCTCTGAATTCTTGTTGCAGGATTTCCCATGGTTCCTTGGCTGACTCTTTCAATGCAATTCTGGGGAAAATGTCATCAGAGACTGCACCTTGTATCAGACCCAAGGCTTTAGCATCCTTTGCAACGTTCTCTTCCAAAGCAAGCTTTTGAGCTGTAGTCAGAGTTTCTCCTTCTTCCTTCTTCACAGTAGGTTGCTCATACCCATTCTCAACCATATCCCACAGCTTGTGAGATTTGAAGATTGTGCACATCTTTATTCTCCAGAAATCATAGTTGCTTCCATTGAAGATGGGAGCTCGAAGCTCACCCATGCTAGATCCAGCCATGTGAGACTAGATAGAGCTTCCCTCAGCTCTTAGATCAGAACCTTTGCTACTAATGCCATGTTGGAGTTTCTATATAATAGCAAGTGTTCTTGCACAGAAGGTATATGAGGAAATGTTTGAGAGAGAAAAGAGAGAGAGGGAGTCTGTTAGCAAATGACTGTATTATGCACACTCCTGTGTGTTCTCATTTCACTATCACTATATTCTATATCAGTACAAAAAATGACTCAGCCTTACAATTTAGTGTCAGCAATCTGAGCTGTACACTTGGCATGAATCTGGACATGTTAGTCCAACAATATGTGATGGCATATGAGCCATACACCTGTCTAAGCTAACAATAGAACCTGGAAACAATTTATACTTCAACAATCAGCAGTATCTGCTTTCATATTTTCTTCTGTTTATGCATATCGGTGAGACTAAAACAGGGTTATTGATTTTCTCCATTTGCAACACGTATTGCCATCTCTTTGTTCTCTAATTTGCAGACCTAGAATTTCGCTGTGCTAAAGGTAGGTTAGGATGTAACACGCCATTTATGTTGTTTTGGTACTCAGGAACACTCGCAAGGTCTTCTCTGAGTACCACAACATGCCTACGGACACTTGCAAGGTGTTCATAACACTCAGTACAGTGGAGTTCTTGCGGAAGCCCATTTGTAATTCACAACAGAGAGGTCCTTGCGGGAGCTCTCTTTGTGTAAGCAACACAATTAGCATCATTTTGAAAAGATTTGTTTACATCTTCCATTGTCAAGGCTTATGTACAGTTTCTTTTACACCTTTTCTTTTGCCTACAAGTTAGTTGTACATAAGAGAATGCTCAAATTAATGAATCATTTTATACCTTCCTTAATGGTATTGTGACAGAGCTTCGTATCTCCTTTGCTTGCTTCTCTTTTTCTTTTCTTTTTTCTCTTCTTTGGATTTCTGTAGCAGTTTGGTGCTTCTCCTCCTCCGTGTTTTTGCGTATGTTTTCTGCTTTCTTCTTTTTTTCTTTTGCTCAGCAATGGTCCCTTTTTATAGACCCAGAGAAACTGAAAGGGAGGAGCCAGTTATGGCCTCACGTACTGTTTGAGTGGGGGTAACTTCCCATTTTCAGTCAGCCCCTCAACTCCACCCTCCAAAGTCAAGTACATGAAGCATATTCTGTTACTGCTTTCAATATATTAATATTTTCTTGTAAAAATATTAATATTAACTCATTTTGGGCCTAAACCAATTTAGGAAAAAGTCCACAAGACCATTTTAGCTATGAGCCCAACTTCTTTAAACTTGGGCCAGAATTTAATTTGTTGTCAATGAATTTTTTATTTCAACACTCAACATCCAAAATCATGAATAATAAAATTAGGGCATTATCCTAGTCTTAGGTAGATATAGTCATAAATAAAACACAAGAAAAACATAGAGAAAACAAGAAGAACTGAAGAATAAGGTGGGGACAGCAAGGCGGACGACAACTGCTCCAAGCTTCTCTCTCAATTGAATTAATTTGGGGCCAAATGAGTTCTCCTTGAATAAAAGGTGTATCCTTTGCTTTTATAGAGGAGAGGAACGTCTTTCTTTCTCCTTATTTGACTTGGAAGTAGCTTTTCTAACTCTCCGAACGAAACCCTAGGACAGCTAGGCAAAGTTGCTTGGGATGCAAGGACTTTCCTAAAATGAGCACTCTTCACTTAAAATGCCTTAACTCCTTCTACACGTATCTAAATCACAAATTGTAAACTGCTATGGAAATCTAACTTCTAAATCTTTCCAATGATATAAGACTCATCAATGCATTCATTATGAGGAATTCACACTAACTTTGAGAAATTAACAATTCTGCACTAGGAGTTTTAGGAGTATTGTAGGATGATGAGCTGGCTTTGATGACATGGCATGATAATATGGCACCTTCTAGAAGCATCTAGAATCTTATTCTTTCCTATTTCAGACGGGTTTTTTTGTCAAGAAGGGAAACTTTCTAATTCAATTCCTGCGAGCTTTCCATCAACGTTACTAATCCTTTGAATTGGATTCCTTCTCGAACAAGGAAAACTACCTTTTCCTAGTCTTAGTAGGAGAACGTCTTCTTTGCTTTATTTTCTTGATTAGACCTATCTAAACTAAAAAAAAAAACACATCAAAATGCTCAAAAAGAATAGAACTAGACTAAAAAATGAAGCAAGAGGCCCTAAGAAGATAGTGAATTTTGGACTCATAAGTTGGTAGTCCTTATTGGACTTGACTAGCTTAAATAACACCCACAACCCTTGTTTGGTGAAATGCTTCTTAAAGTTAAACGAGACTAGAGAATCCGATCCCCCTAAAAATTCCTCCTTCTTTTGCGCAAAATAAAGAGCTGCATGGAGGTGCCGCTAAATAACAAAGTTGCTCTTTTGGATGAGCGAGTCTGCCATTATCCATCTTAGATGCTCACACTGTTTCTCTTTGACGTTTCTCTTCTCTCCTCTTCCATTGTTCTTTGCTTTCCTCTTTTATTGTGCTCTACTCTCACCCACTCATGTTGAATTGGATTATGAGCAATATCGATTGCCTAGTTATTGTCACAATACAAATGCATGGGCTTCTCCAGTTTAAAGTCCAATTCTATCAATAAACCTTAGACCCACAACAATTCAAAATTTTGATGAGTCATACCTTGATATTCTACTTCTACAATATGTTAAAGTTTGTATAGGAAAATTCATTGTCACTTAGTCCCATATTGGAAGGGATTGGTTTCTTTTCATGGTTTATAAGCACAAGTCCTTGAAATATATATATATATACACACACACACACACACATATACAGAGAGCTTTCATATACCCTTGTAGGGCCCACTTGCATTGTATTTCACTAATCTAAACTTCTATTTTGTATATATTCATTCAAAGATCATCTATACAAAAAAATCACTTGAATCCGATATCATTTTACCATTCAATTAAATTATTGAAATTTAAGTACTTTCTTGAAGCATCATGTTCATTGATTTTGTTGGTCTCAATTAGATGCCTTAATGATTTTAATGTTTTGCAAGGATGATCTATGAATGAAGACTTGAAAAATAGACGGTTTGAATCGTTGAAAAAAAATTTGCAGGGTACTCTTAAAGGTGTTTCTCAAATAAAATTATTTGAAGGGTATATATTTAGCTAATAAAATTGTCAAAAGATGGGCCTTGGTGGGGGCTCTGTTGATTTAATTAATATTTTTTTCTATTAATTAGAAAATCATGTTTAGATAATATCATTATCTAAAATTTGAATTATGTGTTAGTAGTTATTACAATTGTTGGATGAAGAGGTTTCAGACCTCTATATATTGACAATTAGTTTAAACCAGTAAATTATAGAATTATATGAAATTGCATTATCATTCTCCACACATAAACACTTGAGAAATCATATAACTATTCACCAGAAATCAAAGCCACAATACTTAGGGTTTGATTTGTGATAGTTTAATCCTGGTGGGAAAACTCTTATCAAACTACAAGCACAAGGGGTAGAGGAGAAATATTGTCTAAAAGACACTGTAACCCTACAAGACTCTATCACCTATCCAAGTCAGTATTTTCTATTTGATTATACTACAATACTGTATTGATTAGATTTTATTATTTATATATAATATATTTCATGTTGTTTATTCTATTATTTGGTTTTATCTTGATTGTTCTCCAACAATATTTAGACAGTAATATGGAACAATCAAGAAGTAAGACCTCTCATGCCGAAAAGTGTGAGAAATTCAAGGGCACCACTTCAAACATTGGCAACATAAAGATTTTGTTCTATCTTACAACATTAAACCTAGCCCATATTATGAGAAATGATGCCCCTATGTCAAATGAGAATCTTGCAACCAGAGAGACCGTGGTTGCAATTAATGCATGTACACAATCTGATTTCTTGTGTAATAACTATATCTTTAATAGGCTGGATGATACACTGTATGATGTTTTGTAGCATTCAAGACAGTTAGGATCCAAGAAAAAGTATAAAACTGAAGATGTAGGATCCAAGAAATTTGTTGTAGGTGGATTTTTGGACTTCATAATGGTAGATTCCAAACTTGTTTTCAAACAAGTTGAAGACTCCAGAAAATTATCCAAAAAAAATGAATAAGTTGAGACTTGAATAAAATTATAATAACAAATTTAAAGCTTGAATAAAAATGGGTACTAACCACATCACTAAGATTATACCCACTTGCAGGGCTTGCATTGGGTTTAGTCAGACATGCCTTCCAAAGAGAGGATTGTTGGTTGATGATTTTGAACCGAGAAGCTATAGCTTGTGGTGTTCGAGGCTACGACCCAACCATGCCCTAGTCATTCTCCAAAAACTTTTGGTACATACGAACCCAAAATGTGTCACTTGCTTCTACATAAAGCCTCATCTTCTTGTGGTCTCCAATTCACACCTCTTTGGGGTTTTGGGGCCATATTGAAAATAATTGAAAGGAGAATTAATAGAATTATCAAAGTGAGAAATGAAAATTTGATTTTGGTGGATTATTTAACAAAATGGATGAGTATTTATAGAATTCAGGATGAGTTTTGGTGTTACATCTGATTTATAATATTAATTTTATTTTTTTACCGTTGAATTTGATTTTTGATTTTTGGATCTATTTTATTTCCGTTGAAATTGTTAAGAAGTAATCCTGGCATTTGATCATATAGCCGTTGGGAACAATTTGAAAAAAGAAAACAAAAGCAAGTTTCAATTGTGGCCATCTGATTCCAACAACAGTATTAATATTGCCATCCACGTACCCCTAGGTGTGGCTGACACAATGGGTCCACAAATCTGACTTTGCACATAGGAGCAAGTGGCTTGTGTAATTGGGCTCCACCAATTTTCAATCCAGGCAAAAGGTGGACTGCTATTCCACCCAATATATGGACTAGATTGATATTTCGTCTGGCCCTATATATGCATTGGGGGCTCCATCCAAGCCATATTGCTATAATTTGACGTTTGGCCCTTACCATGAGAG